CCCACCCCCCAGGAAACTCCAATCCCTTCTAATTCTGTGGGGGGAGTATGGATATTTTCTGGTACTGCACAATGCATGGTATGCATGTTATTTCAGATGAGTGATTGGATACACCTAGCATATAGCCAGTGGCATTGTGATTTTTTTTTACTACTATTCAGCCACCTAGGTTATGTTGTCTAATTACTATTAATATTAAATCCTTGTATATTCATAACTTTTTATTGCAAGAGGGTTTGTGACGTTTTTAACTCAGGAAACCTACAGAGGGACAGCTTAGCAAGTGGACCAATCTTATGAAGGGCTGGCAGTTTAGATGGTTCACTCTAGATCCTGATTCTGGATTGTTGGAGTACTATGTGGTAAGAATTAATGATCAAGACCTCAATTCTGATTACAGTGTCAATACATTGTCAAATAGTCATGTGAAGAGTATACATTAATGAAAGGAGGTCATGAACCATGAGAAATTGTAGCAAAATAATATTATATATTAAGATGCTATTGTGATTATTTTGTGATTATGTTGTAATTGATCTCTTTGTACCCAGGACAGGGAGAAGAAGAAGCTGGGGCCTCGAGGATCAGTTTATCTTGGAGTAAGTGTATTGAGAGTCACTGTTTTTGTGAAACTCCATAGGGAAATCCAGGGGAAAAGTGTAGGGGTTTGAGACAATACTTCTTATAAGGACTATATCAGGGTGACACTAGGGAATTTAAGATTATGGTATGGCTAGGTTGTACATGTAGCTCTGTTGTTACACTTCCGGTGACATCATCACATGCTTCGCCATGTTGATGTTGCGTGTGTGTACTTGATGTATATGTATGATGTGGTATGATATTGCTTAGTTAGTGGTGTGATATTGCATACATGTGGATCTGCTTTTTGCCTCTATTTCAAAATTTTGCCAAATACAAATCCTTTTATATGAAAATGAGTTTGATTTTTTGTGGAAACAAGTCCAGTGTGAAGAGGTCCCTTGGTGTTCGTTGTGTCAAATTATGTTGCTCAATAAGATCTTTGAATTTTGAGCTGTAATGCCTGTAGGACTTCATGCTACTTTGTCAGTGGGCAATTGTTTGGTGACTTATTTTAACTTAGCTGATGTTTTATCATTTTTATTCATTTTATTTGTGATGTTTTTAATAGGGAAGTATGATTGCTCCCAGTGATGAAGATTCATTCACATTTACTGTTAGTGCAGCCAATGGTGATATTTTTAAACTCAGAGGTAAATACTGTATATGGTACACTTAACTTTCCAGACCATCTGCACCATATCTTTTTTTATTATCTGTGACACACCCTACACTTGCACCTCTGCCGAGTGAGGAACCGATATAAATTTGTCCAGGCTGGTTAAAGTCTGCATCAGGTGAGTGACCCATACAACTGGTCATGAGCTTATCTTGGTTTCTGTAGCATTTAGCAACTGGGGTGTATTTCTACTTCCTCCTGGATGGAATGCTGGTCAACCTCCACCCCTCCCCCACCCCACCCTATATCAATCTGCTGACTGGTACCCACTTAATATACACCTTGGCAGAGAGAGACCCTGTGTGAGTAAAGTGTCCTACATGAGAACACAATGCAATGAACCCAGTCAGGACTCAAACCAGGGCTGCTTTATCTGCAGGCCAGCATGCTTATCATTAAGCCACCTTGCCTAAAATGATAAATAATTGTTAATTATTTTGACAGGACTAGTATACTGACAAAAAATTAAAATTGCTTTATATTTCAGCCAGTGATGCTAAAGAAAGACAGGACTGGATAAACAAATTGAGAAGTGTTGCTGAGTTTCATACATCAAGTATTGCTCAGGTGCTGGTTTAGGCTTTATTTAATATGTAGTTTTAATCAATGCTAGTTTTCATACGGTAAGCAAGGTTTGTCATTTCACATTAACTCAAGTCAGCTGTTTAAATGGAAGTGCTTCAAGTTCTTTCAATCTTCACTCAGCAAGGCAATATGATTTTCAACCTAAAACTTAACCTGTCCTTGAACAGTTGTTTGAATCTCTTGCTAGGCTGCCCCACCATTATATGCTACATCTGGTTTTCCTGCACCACCCACTCATTCAACCAGCGCTGTGAAGCACCCAGCAACAGCTGCCTCATTAACTGGCCCCTCTACTGTGGTAGCAGCGGATAAAATCAACACAGACTCCCCTAAATTAGCCCCTAAAACCTACCATGTACCTGAGAAAATCACGGCAGGACTGTCCCAGATCAGAGATGAATTGTACAGAATAGAAGATCAACAAATGGTTTTTATTGATCAGTTGGAGGTAAATGTGTGGTGATTTTTTCTTTGAGTACATTTTACAGTACATGACAACTTCAGTTTGGGATCGACCAGCACTTAAGTATTTATTACAGGAGGCATTCTGACCTACATGTAATGATTAATGTGCTTGACTCTGGGGTGAAACGTCTGGATTTGAGCTCCAGTAGGCGTTATTGCAGGGGTGGGTTGGGGTAGGGTGGGGTGGTGGTGTCCTGCAGAACATTGCAGGATTAAATCCGGTAAGTGACTGAAGCCTGATACTTTACCTTCACCCTCTGTTTGTCTTGGTTTCCTGAATCACTTTGTGCATTCTTTCAAATGATGATACATAGGTTCTCCACAATTTCCTCCCAACTGGCTACAGGTCTGTTGTGGACTGACAGTTCATTCTGACAGGTCACCTCACCTAAAGAGAGTTGCCCTTATTTCTGCCTCCATGATCTGCACCATGTTCTACTTAGCCAGAGCTCTCACGGATATCTTCCTGTTCCTTTGTGGATAACGCAAACTAAATTTCATAAGCATGAATTCAGAAAGAGTACATAGACTTCAGCTCATCAACAGCAGGGTAGTCTCAAAGTTTTGAAGTAGGCAACTTTATTTTTAGTGTAGATGGCTGATTTTGCCATCTTTTTTGTAAAAGGGTCAAGTCTACACAAGCCAAGTGGCCCATCAGGCCGGCACTCATCTCTGGTTTCCATTGCATGAAGCAACTTTTAGTGTTTCTACTCCCCCCTTGGTGGGATGCTTGTCCATTGCGGGTTTACCCCCAGCATTGATATCGTCGGTACCCATTTCTATACCTGGGTGTAGAGAGGCACTGTGAGAGTAAGGTGTTGTGCCCTGGCATGGGCTCAAACCTGGACTGCTTGATCTTTTTGTAAAGAATCACACACTCAGATAAATAGCCAAGCAGAGTATCTGGCTGAGATCATGAAGTAAAGTAGATGTTAATTTTTGTGGTTGGCCAGCTATTTTTGTCAACCCTGATCAGTGGTGCTTGTTCACATATGCCATGTAAAATGTTTTTGTTTTGTGGTTCAGCCAGTTGTTGTTAAATTGTGGGTAATCATAGTATATTTGTTGCAGGTAGAGCCAACTGGTGAAGAGTCACTTTTTCCATTGGATAATGTAAGCTTTGTTAATCAATGGAACAAAAAGTGTTAAATTCATAGTCTATTATTATTATTATTATTATTATTATTATTATTATTATTATTATTAATTATAATTAATCTAGTAAGTGCATTCTGATAGTTGTTGTCAGTTGATGACAGCACATGAGTCTGCTTTTCCTAAGCAATACTGGGAAAATATAGTTGTACGTATTTTTGTTTTTTGCAGGATGTACTTATTTTAAAGGCAACTGCACAGGTAACTAGGACTGGATCAATCATTAAACAAAACTATGAAACTTTTGTACTCACGATGAACTAATTTTTGTTGTCTTAAACTGAACTGCCACTTGTGTATAGGACCTACATGTATACATACATTTCTTGGCTACTTCTTTTGAGCATTGGTCTGAACAGTAGAAATCATAAATCTTCAGATACAGTACTCTCAGCACTGTTGTTTTTGTAAATGCAGTTAAAAGCAACAATACAGTTCACCATATAGGTTTTACTCTCATCATCATCATCATTGTCGTCATCTTTGTCATCATTGTCGTCATTGTCGTTACAGGCCTTATCGCACCATGGGACACATAAGGCCTTAGGTTTTTCTCGAGGGACCAACATATGAATTGAAAGAAGCATATTTGCATAACTATCTGGAGGGCTGTGTTGTCAGAATTAATAAATTATTTTATTTTATTTTGTTTCCCTGTAAATGTAAGTAAGTAACACCTGGTGTAAATAGGTAATGTACATTGTAGTATCAATGTAGCCATAGCAGAGTACTTTGTTATTGTAATTTATAATTTGTGATACATGTAATTTGCTAAAGATCTGGAGGACAGTGTTACCGACTGTAAAAACTATTTGAAAACTAAATCGAACTGCTATGAATGCTGCTATGTTAGCTTTCAGCTTCTAAGCACAATCATGCAACTTTGGTTTTCTACTTGATGAGCGCTATAACTTAATTTAAAAAACGAACTCAAATCAATCAGACAAAGACTGTGAGGGCCATAGCCAGTCTGAGGCAACCGAGGCACTTGCCTCAGTCATTTTTTTTGTTTCTGTAGTTTCTTTTTTGAAGGGTGAGAGTGAAAAAGCTGCTAGATACACTGCACCTGTAGGGAGAGAATTTAACCATGGGCATTGCATTAGTCATAATTTGTTCATGGACATTTCTGGCTACTGCCCTGAAAGCATCTTCTTTCAACAACAACCTGTAACCACCTGTAGTTAGTACATTTTCCTGCTCTTAGCTTTGCCTTTAGTTCTCATTGGGTCGTAATATATCCTAGTTGACACAGATAAAACTTTCCATGTTAAATTAAAAAGTTTTTATTAAATATTTCTGTTTCAGTCTGCCCTTGGTACTCTTCGCCATTGCTTCTCCATCCTTCAAGGGCAGGTAGGTTTTTTGTTTAAGTACATGTAAGTAAACTTGATGCTATCAGTGGTTTAAAATTTACATGTGTACAGTATTATGTTGAATTATTTTATCTAATTTTTGTGCTGTGGAGTTTTGTTAGAAGCATTGCTGTAAGAAGCAATCTCTTGAAGTGAAAGAGTCCAGTTACGATGTCTTAGATTCTTTAAGTCGTAGACTACCTGTACAGGTATTAATTTTGCGAGAGTACTTAAGGTTGAAATTAAATGTTTGCTTTATAAGAGTGTCACAGCATAATTTTGAGGAATGTTTTTTTTAACTATAATTAGTGAAATGTGATTTTAAAATGAATTGACCTCTCTGTTTTTAATCCAGTTGTCAGAACATTTCTTTGTTCCAGGTTTTCTTTTCCAACATAAAAATAATTAATAAGTTTTGACGAGATTTCAGTTTTGCTCACGACAGGTTAAGTTCGAAACAGTTATACTGAAAATGTCAAATTTTCCCTACCTTTTGGCCTGCATGACGTTATTTTTAGTGAAAATGTTGTAGAACATCAGTTTACCATAGTTGATGAATTTCTTTGTAATGTGGTGACGTTTTTAAGAAACTAGTCTACTAGTTAATCACTCTGGAATAAGCGAATATTTGGGTAGCTGATTGCTTTGTTGTTTTTCTTTTGTCTTTATAGGCTGCTGAATATCAAACTGAAGTTCCAGGTATCTGTGTTTGACTTATTGTTCTCAAACTCATTAATAATCCATCAACTCTAAACAAAGGAAATCATGACCGTTACAATGTTTGGATATCTGTTCTTAATTGGCATAGATTTTTACGATTTTATTTCTCCGCTTTCTCCATAAATTTGGTTTCGATTGAGAAGATATATCAAGCAATCAAGACAGTATATGGCCACATTTTCAAACACCTCGAAGTTCGTCAAAATACTCCGCTGCGCGTCGTATTTTCAACTCTCTTCTCAACGTTTGGAAATGTGGTCAAACACGGCCTTTCGTGTTTGTTACAAAATTATAACTTCTTGCTACGTTTGGGAACAGGTGTACAAGATCCCCCACCCCCCTACCCTTGGCAACTCCGCAGCAGAGGAGGATAGACTAGGAATGAACGGAAAAAAGTGAACGAGAATGACTCGGAACGAAAGGCGCATCCCCGTTCCTAGACTATATCATTCACCTCCATTCTCGTCCCCAGAGCCGTTTGTCTCTTTTATCCGGCGGAGCCTTGGCGCAAGGAAAACGTAGCTTTGTAGACTCATGATTCGATTGGCTAGAGTCTTGAAATAATTGATTTTCACTAAATCAACGCTGGTTTCCTTCCCGAAAATGTTCACTGGTTGATCTCTAACTCAAAGCGTTCCATGGGGCACGAATAAACAATCTCTTTTTAATTAATTTCCGTCGGCGCCATGTTAGAATTTGTCTGAATAGTCCAAATTGGCTTATTGTGGTTACATGGTGCGTTTTTTTCCTTTGGTTTAAAATGAGCTTAAATATCGCGACACAGAAATTCTTTAAGGCTGCACTCGTCACGCAATCTTAACTCCCTGCACGGGTGGCAAGCCATGGAACTCCCGCCATCTTCTTTACGCGAGAAAACTTATAAATAGCAACGGTTTGACGCTCCTGGACCACAGCGAGTTACGTACATCGTTATACTAAGAGAAATATTCCATGTTTGTTTTTTTGATTTTTCAAAGTTTCGAATAAATATTTTCTATTTCTCCCTATTACAGCTGACAGGGGTCCTCCTGTTAATACGTTAAACAGCTTAAGCAGTTAAAGTACATTTAACACTTCACAGGTCCCTTCACATCTTTTAGGCAGCACGGTCTAAATGTTTTAGATGTGTTGAGTCCACCACGTTATTTTTGAACCTTGAGATCCATGTGATGGTCATTACAATTATGTTTGAATTTTAACATTGTCTCCCGCTTATTTCATTAACATATCCCTCAGACAACATTGTGTATATTTAAGTTATCTTCGTGTCTTGGTACAAAAACTGGTGGCTTCAGCAACATACCTCGCGGTTACTCGCGGTTTAGTCACGAGTCAGTTACAGTTTTCCTTTTTGAAATTACGACCATCTCAAATAGATATTTAACAAATTTGCTTGAATAAAGTTGTTTACAAGAAATGCCTGTTATTTTTTTTAAATTTTAACTTGGCTCTGCTATTTGGCAAACGTTGCCTGACTGGTATAATGTAGCAATTATTTTGGCGTAAAACAAATTTAGGTCGGAGACAAATACCTTTGGACTCAATTCTCTGATGGATGACACGTACGTATTTATTTATGTCAGCTCACTGACGTAGTAGGCACAGTGTGAATCATAAATTATTCACCGTATACACTGGCAGAATTAGTTGTATAAATGTGTTGCCACCATGATACACAATTCTCTATTTTTGAGTTTTATTGAAACTGGAAAAAACATGTTGAGATGGAGTCAATCGCTGCCTTAATTTAGTTGACGAGATTCTGCTTAAAAGAAACGGTGAGTTTCTCGATTTCTGCCGACATGCACGGCAAATTTGTGTCCAATTTTCGTCTCATTATGCCCTCCCAGGTGAAAATGTTATTGTGAGAATTCTTTATTACCCTAGAAGCGTGTTGAAAGTGCTCTCGTATTTGATGTCTTTGTCTGTGAATTGCGTCGCATGTGTGTGTAAAATAAATTGTCAAATTTGTTTTCTTTTGTGGTAAAACCCACGGAATCGTCGTGTCTTGGTTAAATACTTAAACGCAAAGGGCAAGCTTGAATAGAATCGTGGTCACAGCGAGAGTAATTATTTTTGCTATTGAATGTTTGCTGTTGAAGGTTTCAGTAGCAAGTTTCAGCGTCGGCTATTTTGTGTGATTAGGGAGAACTTTTCTCGAAGGTAAAAGTTATCCGAGACCTTTATTGTTGCTGGTCCCGAATGACGATTACGAATTGCGCAAACGGAATACGATGTAGTTGTTTCCTGCGCGGGCTGGTGGCTGTTATTTCAATTTACATAACTTTATGCTGAGTACAAAGCAAAACATTACTTAATATGATAAATATGTAAAAATTCGTGTCTATTTTTCTCTCTTTCCAGAGCAAGATTGGCAACAACAGGAAGCAGTAACAGAGTGAGTATGGCACTTGGAAACCTTTTTTTTTACCGTTAAGTTTTTCTTCGTAGCTATCCGGTGTTATAGTCAAGCTATTGTCAATATCATTTACACAAGTTTTCTGGTTGTATCTATTTTCACTAGGGGCACGTGTATGTAGTTGTGTGTTATCTGTGATTGAGAAATAACCGTGTCCACTTCAGTCGTATATATTTTTACGCTTTTCGACTTCCTGGTGTTGTTTTTATCATACTCCATAGCAGTTATTTGTTAGTACGTTTCTCATTTTCGTGTACTTTTCTCAGATTATCTTCGGTTTTGCTTCTCCAACCGCTTTCAGAGGTTCCTCTCTACCTCCGGACCCTCGGGTAGAAATTGCACTTTCTTTAGTTTGGAAAAATTAGCGAGACTGAAGGAAAAATGAACAGGTTAAAATTAGCAGTGAGCTCTCGAATTATACTTTGCTTTAAACCTCAGTGCTCGCTGCAGTAATTATAAAAACGAAACTACTGATCTGATCTCTTAGGAAAAGAAACGTGAGTGCGACAGAAAAAATGAAGTATTTTTCAGTCAGTGTAGAGCTAACAAAACGAACCTTTTGATACACCACAACTCAGCCTGTCTTTGTTTATCCTGATGTACGAAGCCTCCCGATTAAACAAACAATTGTTTTAGAGAAAGAATGACTAAAGGTTTGCTGAAAGCTCCAGTAGAAAAATTTTGAAATTTTTGTAGTCTAACAAACGTCAAAACGGTGGAATACTATAAATTTATTCATTTTAGAACAGGACATTTTTATAACGTTAGGAACACATTTTGATTTTACAAACTAACCGCCCTCGAGTGTCGGAGGTAATTCGCATGTCTTTTAGTTTAACACCACCACGCTAAGCCATTGGTTTAAAAATTTCGCGCTGCTTTGTCATCCAATCAGAAGGGAAACCAGAACCAATCGTGACTCACTCGGACACGCTTTCCCGCGCTTCTCGTCGGCTGCATCTATTTACTTCGAGTTTTGATTGGTTCATTGGATTGCTTGTGTCCTTTGTGATTGGCCAGAGGGACTAACTGGTTTTGTTTTTTCAAACGAATTGTGAAGCGTAGTAATGCGAAACCAAAAAAATTTCGATACTCCGAAAGCGAAGACCGCTCTGAGGGAAATGATACCGGTCGCGATCATGTCCTTCCGCAGGCAATATTTCTTGCACTTTGGATGTTACATTGGTTTAAAAAAAAAGAAGTTATTAACTAAACGGTGCTTGAATACAGTCGATCTCGCAGGCCCTGTTCTAAAGCTTTAGAAAAGTAAAGTATAAATGAAAATATGAAAGAAAATACTTTTCAAATATTACTGAATGTAAAGTTTAAAAAAAACAAACAAACCTTCATACACTACGGTAAAAGACGGTAAATCTACACTTAAATCAGAGTTTGACTTGAGACTGCCCTGCTTTCTGTGCTCCTTCACGTGAATAAATTCATACCAAATACGATTCCAACCTCGTACCCAGGATCTCCCTTCTTCCCGCCCAAGAGGGGTGGCAGTAACTTGAGACACTAGGAACGAGTTTGCACTTATACACGGTGGTTGCAATCAAATCTAAAGTTCTTTTTGTGCTTAGCTTCCAAATTTAAAAGACCTCACAAAGCTTTCAACCCACACGGTGGATACAAAGCAAGGACTGTAATTTTTTTTCCACCTACAGCCCAAGATGCTGATGTAGACGACCCGCTAGTTAAACAGTTAATATAAGTGATAACAATGGCTTATTTAAAGGTTAAATCATTTGACAGAATTCAACGTGAGAACAGTAACTACCTTATGAGTCGGCGACGCCTTTTGAGGTAAAGATATGAAATAATTGCAATTCGTTTAATTAATCCTGTTCAACATTAATAGTCCTCGGTTTTGCAGCCCTAAAAGATGGTTACGAAGGCGTTGCGTGACAACCTGAACAACAATAAACAAGTGGCGCTTTTCGTAGCACTTGAAGAGGCTGAACTTTGTGTTACGGTGAGGTTGCTAAGCAACACGCACGTGCAAACTCTAGTAAGCATGCAAAAGTTAGGAGAGGTTTCGCAGTTTGGAGACTGAGTTCCTGTAACATTTTCCAAAATAATGATAAAATTAAGTGAGGATTTAAATACTAACGGGACCTTGATGAAAATGATATTTGATCCCAGGTGAGCGGCGATATTTGACCTAAATATACCCAATACCGGTATTTTTAAATATATTCTGCCTTCAAAGCCATCTTAAGGGATGTAAACCTCCAGTCAGTGAAAGCCTTGGTTTAATCATGGTTGCCGACGTTATTTTAAATCTGAAGAAGTGTGACATGTTAATCTGTAGTGTTACTCCAGGTGTAAATAGTAGTTTTATCACAGTTTTGTCAAAAAGGCTGAGAGCGAATTTCTAAACTTGAACTTAAAAACTAAAGTAAAATGTAACTCGTAAATTGTGACCGGGATGTTAACCACACGGATTTTTAAAACATTATTTTTTCTTTATTTTATGTTTTCAGCAATTTTACCGCTAACATTTGACAACGGTGTGTCTTCAAATCGCTAGGACATGACGCCCCAAGGAGTTTTTCTTGTTTGGCCAATTAAATTATTATGACACTGGAAAAAATTACAATTTTAAAATATTCATAGCCTTGACGTCATATTTTTGTTCTCGAAGTCTTTGGAATCATTGGGAAAGAACCTCTTGGGATGTAACAAAAAAATGCTGTTGTAATTTGGATCTAATAATGTTTTCGTGTTTTTAGATCTAAAACGTTCAATTAAAATCATCTTGAAAATGTCTTGAATGCCTTCTAGACCAAACGTTATTAAGTTTCAACCCAAAAGTTCTCTTTGTTCATTAATGATTGAAGGGGACGATAAGAAGGCGATATTTGGTTCGATTGCGTCGTTGTAGAGGAATAACACTCTGTAATGAATAAATAATAAAACTTCACGCTTCGACAATAAGCGATGAATTCGTCAACTCTAGAAGAATCGGCCGATACACACAACATTTACCATAGTGTTATTCCTCGGCTGATTTCAAAAAGGTAGTAAGTAATTATCGTATCGACTGCGAGGGATTGAATAAAAGCCGTATCAAGTAGCTTTGATGTAAAAGACTGACGAAATCACGCTTTCCTCATTGGATGCGATATGCTTATACAACAATAGAATGCGAAGTTTTGTAATTACGGTTAAGAACTCTGTAGGATGTGAAGGGTAATATAAGATATTCAGTTTTACACTGTGTAATGTGGTAATCTTTTCCGCTTTGAAGCTTAAAATCGCAAGGAGAACGGACTACAGGAGAAAGTCGACATTTTGGGTTCCACAAGAATCCTTCTACTCCAAAGTCGCAAAGGAAAGATGTTAAAAATACGGAAATTACCGAGAATTCGACAGTATCATGTTGTGAAAAAGCGAGAGCTGAGATGAAATATAACATCGGTGAGTAGAAAGAATTTAATTCTTGAACTCAGTTTGAATGTGATAGCGTTGTAACACACTCTTACACAATCGTTTAGGAAGTGTTTAATAGTTGAGATGTCTGCTACATTTTGATTCATTCATTTGCATATTTGTATTAATATTGTTTACTCAAACCGTCAACAGAAAATCAATTCTCTACAGTACAGTTGAATTTTGGAAAAAATCACAAAGTATTCTCTATTCTTGACCGCTTTTTTAAATCACGCTGTTTTATTTCATTCCTGTTGGTTCACGTATTGCAACAAACCAATATTTATATTTGATATTTCCTAGCCAGTCAGCTGGTTCTGTCCGGGCCGCTTATTATGATTTGTAGGCCCTTTTTTGGGGCACAAACGTTTTCAATTTTCATCTGTGGAAGAAGCGACTCTCTGTGAGTCATAGAATCCAGTTCTGGTCATGAATGTGGACAAAAAAAGCAGTTAAAATTGAAGCAGAGTTTTTTTTCCGCCAAAGATTTTCAGTTTTCTCTTCTGAAAGAAGTATTTAGCGTGAAATGTCATCGAATGAATCCAGTTCTGGCCAAGGATTTGAATAAAAAGCTGATTAGACTGTTCACAGCCCTCTGTTTTCTCGTATTTTTATTCCACTGTTGAACGCGCGGATCGAATCGCGAGAGAACTGGACGCCAGCACAAAACGGGAGACTTGACGGGGTAGGGGATGGGGACCGAGTGAACAGTCTAAGAGCTGATAAATGTGAAGTAGAGAGTAGAGGAATCTTCGGTTATAAAACGATCCGTCAAGAGGAACGTTATTGACTTCTGTGTCAATTCTAATAGTACGTAGGCTTTTAGCCAGAACAGCAAACTTGATTCTCAATAGTTTAAATGCTATTGTCCTTTTAGGTCACACAGACGAGGTTACTGACGAGGAAGCATACTGTGTAGGAGAAGAGCCTGAGAACCAGTCGGTAGAGGAACACAAAAGCGTTATATTGCATCTCCTCTCTCAGCTCAAGCTGGGAATGGACCTAACTAAGGTACCTAGCGGAGCACTCCTTCAGTGTCACTTTCTTCTCAGAGCAATAACGAAACAATATTTTGGCGGCATGCTGACGTGACAACATTCAAAGACTTTTTATGTTCTCTTTTTATGGTCATTTGAAGGGGCATGAATGTTTAAAACTCCCAAAAACTGTTTTTCATTAATAAAAACCTAAACATAATGGTATGATATGTGTGGCGGAATGTTAGCACTGTTTTACCAAACGTGTAGCTCTCCACAGATGATAGATAGCCGTGTGACTGTCACAGCCCTAACTGTTTAAACAGTGGTTAATGCTATCTACCGGATAAATCGCTATCCAGTATATAAGTTTTACTGTGCTTTCCACTGGATAGTAAGTGATTTATCTGTTGGATAGCGCTATCTACTCAGTTTGAACAACTGGTCAGTAAGCCAATATAGTAGGTGTTGGACTTCTTGGTCGCAGTTGGTGCAGCAAAAAATACATCCTCTCCATCTTGTCTTTACTTATCTGTTGCTTCTCCAGGTTGTCTTACCGACGTTTATTCTGGAGCCTCGGTCGTTGTTGGAGATGTTTGCGGATTTTTTTGCTCACCCTGATCTGTTTGTTAAGTAAGTATCACACATGTGGTCTTTATCTTCTTAATATAATTAACTTCTTAATGTGCGTGTTACCTTTTTCTGTTTAATGTTGTGTTCCATTTTTGACTGTTTGTCCAGCTGAGAGAAGTTCAAATTATTTCATCACCGACAGCTTGTTAGTTTCAGTTGACACGTTTTTATTGCTTGTTCAGAATTCCTGATGGACTCACAGCAGAGGATAGAATCTTAGCTGTTTTAGAATTCTACTTAACTTCTTTCCATGCTGGAAGAAAGGTGAGAGGTTCAAAGTGTTATTGTTGTACCTCTACACTTGTAGGGGACTTCAGATTTTAGTATGACTACGAGATCGAGAATATTATGACTTTTCAATTCTTGTTTGCTGGCTTCACGTTCACATTTCACATACCCATCTCATCCTATGAGCTACCATCCCTACCTTAAACCAACATGAAAAGCGAGGGCTCTGAAAACGTCACTGGTTTGAAATTCGAAAATCGTACTCTTCCTATATCTCTTACTCGTAGTCCAATAGAAAGGTCTGCACGGTCTTCGTTGCCCAGAATACATGTTCTGTTTGCACTTTACAGTGAGCCCCCACACACTACGCGAGGGAGGTTTTCACTATGTGACTAAAAAAGAAAGCACTTTCTTTTTTTATTTATTTAACATCAGGGACGCCCTTGATTATTTACGTTTGTAGCCCAAGAAGGTTGTAGCAGCAACCGAAACGTCCTGAAATGATTTTTTAAGCCAGTGGCAACATATTTTTATCGAATGTAAAATCCTATTGTTGTTTTTGAGACGGTAATGGTGATTTTGTTTTCAGGGCGCTCTAGCCAAGAAACCTTACAATCCTATATTAGGAGAGACGTTTCATTGTTCGTGGAAAGTGCCAAGCACGTCAAATCCCAAGCAGACCTCTGCTAACAGCGTTATCGACCACACTACCACTGCTACGGATGACGGCAAAATAACATTCGTCGCAGAACAAGTATCCCATCATCCTCCGAGTGAGTAGGGTGTTCAGACTGAGAGGTTGATAACTTATAGGAGCTAAGAGACCTCACTTAGCCGCCAACACAACACCTTAGATACTCATAAAGTGGCATTTTGAACGACTTTGTTTTGAGTAGGAAACTGGATTGCCAAACTCACTGATTACTTCACGATCGTGACGGTGTTTAGATATCTGATCTTAATTAGAATAGAGTTTTACGATTTTACCTCTCCCTTTTCTCCTTAGTTTTAGTTTTGATTGAGAAGATATATCAAACGTTTAAGACAGTGTTTGACCACATTTCCAAACGCCTTTAATTTCGTCAAAAATACTCCACTACGTGTCGGAATATGTTTGGAAATGTGATCAAACACGATGTTTAAAGTTCAGTTTGATATATTATTTCATTATTGGCATACATTTATGATAGTTTGATTTTTGCGTCGTCAGAACAATTATCAGCAGGCGAACCTCAAAACTTGGCTCTGAGACTTAGGCAAGGAAAACAAAAGTAATTTTTCGCTTATTCCTCAACCTCCATGTGATTTCTTCGGTCTCATTTCGCTAAGAGCCGGCGTCAACTTAGATTTTTAATATATCGAAATTGCTAAGGTTCTGCGAGTTAAGCCGAGTTTAATTTAACTGTGAGTGTTTTTTCTTTATTTCTTCTTTTGTAGTCTCTGGATTCTACGCCGAGTGCCCGAGTAAGAAGCTCTGCTTTAATGCGCACATTTGGACGAAGTCAAAGTTCTACGGCATGTCTATAGGCGTGGTGAATCAGGGAGTAGGTAAGAGGCTGGATCAACAGCTATTTTCTCCGTACAATTTTCAGTACATTGTCAAATGGACAGGTGATAAAAATAACAAACATCATCAACTTGCTATAGATTTGCAGTGCAGAATTGTTTCCATCCAGTCTCTTTTTATCCAAAAACTCTCAAACTTTATAGCTGACAAATACTTGAGAAAAAATCAGTAGTTCGTGGCAAGTCTGACGCGGCGTTTCGTCTCGGCCAAGACACTCTTCAGAGACCGTGGAAATTTGGAAATGCTGTGGAGACTTTCTGATTTAGTTCTCCTGCCCTGTAAAAGATTTACGAATACAATTGTAGTTACCGTCTGGAAAAAAGTATGAAATTTGTCCAAACTGTGGTATCTCGGCCGATTATCGAATTAGTTTCCTTATTATATTGCTAAATGCCTCTAAATATGCAAATAACTTGGGTAAAAAGATTCTACAGGGCAAAAGAGAACCAGGATTTCGGAGAAGAGGTAAAAAGGATGGAAGAGGCACCTCGTTTCAGAATTGGTTACCTACATTAGTGTAGAACTGTTTAAGAATCGTTTTATGTTGTTTCTTGATCTCTCTGCTCCTGCTTGGTGTTCGGGTGTCAGCCTCAGATGTTTGTTGTTGTTGTTGTTGTTGTTGTTGTTGTTGTTGTTGTTAACGTTTTAAGTACACTCAGCTTACCTGCTTATTTGTTGTCTCTGCTTAGGTGTTATTTCTCTGTTAGAGCACAATGAAGATTATGTCATAACGTTTCCTAGCACATACTGCAGGTATGTTGAGTCTGGGATTTCCTTCTTGATAGTAGATCTATTGTTATTCTTAAACTGTAGATTTTTTACACCTAATCGTAACTTTTTGGTACGCTTCGGTGGCTTATCAGGTAGGTCGAGCAATAGTTTGTATTTTGTGAGACGTTGTCGAACCAAAATACCCATGGCGAGACCAAATAAGCCAGATATACCGCGAAGCGTATCGAAAAATGTGCGATTAGGTATTAACTGTACCCAAATTCGGCCACGCGACCATGATACCGCAAGATATCCCGGCTTCTGATTGGCTTATTGCGAATTTGGGTACGGTAATGCACAAAACGCGCGGCGTCTGTGCGATGGCGGCAAGAAAACCTCTTTGTAAACTTTACGTGACGACAGCATGAACAACAAAGTTGCTTTTTCGATTCCTGCTGGCCTCATAGTATGCCGACTCGGACTGCAGAAACTACTTACAAGAATAGATTGGGTTATTTCAAAACATACTAGACAAATATTTATGACATCATGTGATACAACTTTCAGGTCAATTTTAACCTTTCCCTGGGTGGAGTTAGGAGGAAAAGTTCACATCACATGCGCAAAAACTGGTTACAACGCGTCGGTGACGTTTCACACGAAGCCGTTTTATGGCGGGAAACTTCATCGAGTCACGGGTGAGGTGAAGAACACATCTACTGGACGAGTGATCTGTAAAGTGAATGGCGAGTGGAATGGAAAGATAGAGCTCAGTTTCACGAGCCATCAGGTTTGTTTGATCAGTTTCTAATTTCTCTTTGTTTGAGATAAATTTTAGTAGGCAAGTATTGGGAGTCGAGAATCAGATCAACAAGTAGAAATTATTGTCGTTTGAATCAGACGGAGATTCCTTCTCCTCAGTAGCATGCGTCTGACAAACTTATATAAATGTGTACGATAATCTGATGGTGGCTGTGTCATATAGAAATGACAGGAATTTTTGAAGTTGATGGCAACCATACAAATGTCTGCAATCCTTTGAAGCAGTTTGATACGCATTAAAACTGAATTTGGCGATGTTTTCAAATAGGGTGTATTTCTAAATATGACCAGGGCCAAGATCGGCGTATAAATTCTTATACAGTTGGGGCCATGAAAACGATGCTTGAAACTTCTCTGAAAGTGACGTCAACTTCATTCGAATTATGGCAGTATAAACCATGTGTGAATTATTTTCTTTGGCTTGTTTAGGAAGAACCCAGGATCCTGGACACGCAAACACTTCCGGTATGTCGTAAGCGAGTTTGTCCTCAGGCAAGCCAGGGAGAGTTTGAGTCCCGTAGGTTATGGCAGAAAGTTACGCATGCGTTGAAGACTGATGACATTGAGTCGGCCACGTCAGCTAAACACGAGGTGAGAGTAGCGCAGATTGTGGTGACTGTGGACCTAATGATCTCTCAACTGTAACTTTTGGAGAATTTGTTTTTACTTAAATACAGTCCTTTGAACGATTTTCAGGAATAACTGGGTTACAATAGTAACCTTCCGTTGCTGAAGACCATCTATACAAAAACTCCGACTACATCATATAAGAGAGAAAAATAGCTATATTTGCTGGGCCTGACCGTGTAAATTACTCAACGCGATCCTGGTGACTGGCCACAGACTACTTTACTGATCTGTTAACTGAAGGTTTGCCTCCAAGTGATCATAAAAGCCTCGAAGAGGTGACTGAACTTGTTCTTTTTTTCTTCTTTTAGCTTGAAGAAAGACAAAGAAAAGAAGCCAGAGAAAGAAAAGATTCTGGAACAGAGTGGAAAACAAAAGTAAGTTTTTTTCCTCGCTTGTTGAACTTGAAACATTTCAGTAAAATACTGAGGGATTATAGTTTTATAACCCGTTAATGGTACTTCATGAAAACCTTTCCGAACATTAACTGTTGCTTAACCCACAAATCGCGGAAAAACTGATCGCGAACTCGTCTCCGAGGATCTACTGCACCTTTGAAACCTTCTGCTTGGATGTTGCTAAGATACAGGACGTGTATCCGTAGTAACAAGCTGTGATAAACGCTTATTGTTTTTGATTGGGCGAGATAAATCTGAAGTTATTGCTCACCGTTACAAGTAAACCGCCCTTGTGATCGTAACCAACTACTTTTTCAACAGCCCTTAGCTTGATGTGGGTATTTTTTCTGTGTGCGTTTTCACTGCTTGTTTCCTTTTTCAGCTCTTTCATCGTCATGGTGACGGATGGATGTACAACAATCACATGAAACTGTCAGTCAAGCCCAGCGAAGAACAAGGATCCTCTGCATCAACGGAACCGACAGAATGATAACACGCTGGGTGTACAAATGCTCTTGACATTGCAGCTTGATTCGCGCCTTTTATCAAAAGTTTCAACAATGTTCTTTTTGGTGCTACATCACGTTTCTCAAACGCTCTGAGCAGAAAAGAGAATCGAGCAGATTGCCATCCTGTCAATCAATGAGATGACATCTTCACTGTCGGCTAATTAGAGAAAGCCGCTTTGTAGGACGAAAATTTGGCCAACATGGCGACGACATTGTTTTATCGGAAATGCTGGAACTCGATTCTTGATATCGATTGTTTCCGCTTCACTGGGTCACTGGGTTGTTTGTACCGTCTGGAGAACAATATTCATGAAAAGGGCAAAGAAAAACTCGCTTAGAGCATGAAGGGTAAGATGGTTAACTTCCCATATAGGCCTTGCTCCCAAGGTAATTCCTCGTGAAGTTATTTTTAGACACGGTGCCTTAATCTTCCGTGGACAATGTGACACGCGCGTTGCGAGGATTGTTTCGTGGACGATGAAAAAGCAGCATGGGCTGCTCACTGCGAATAAGCCGCGTCACAGGATTGGCTATTTCTAGGCCCTCCCGAGTTTTGGTCTATTTATAACTTGAGAAGGATTACTTTGGAAATGTGGCCTATATGTGGGATTAACTCTCTCACTCTTCATCCTCTTTTGGTTGAACCAAATTGCGTTAAAATGAAAAGCAAGGACGTAAAAACTGCCTTATTTAACACACAAGCTTACATTTTACATGCAAAAACCAGCAGGTATATATTTCGCAATAGCTTATGCACCGCATGTAAGTACACTTATAACTTCACCAAACCTTCTTAGCTAAGCTAAGGCACCGAATATTCTTTTTGTTTTCCAAATGGCCGTCTTGTAATTAAGGTCTCTTGTCTCTTGGGATTCGTTATGTAGGGAGAGGTGTTGCGTGGCAACGCAAGTAACGGCTATATGGAAATCGCGTATCATGGTTATGGAATAAAGCGTTCAAACACACTATTCGAACTTTTTAAAGTCGGCGAGGTTAGGTGTACACAAAAATATTTTTTTAAGCCGAGAAGACTAGTCCTTAATTCGACTGCTTCTCTTCGACAAGAACTGAAAAAAAAGCTTTAAGTTAAAGTGGAATGCGAACGAACTGAACAAATCTATGAGAAATTGTTCTCGATTACCAGCCGCTGTTAAGGAAAGCTACACCGAACTCTCTTCTCGAGAGGATTCGAGAGAGTGGCGAAAATTGAGCCTATTGCAGAAGGCCTCATAAAAAAACCTTGCTGTAATAAGAGTTCCGTTTGGGAATTTCACAGAGTAATAATACGGCAATAAAAAAATCTTACACCTTGATTCCTTGTATGGTATATGGTATGTGGTAAAGCTATCGACATTTTAACAATCTCCTCACAAGACCTAACATTTGTTAAATAGACAAGTGTTGACAGTAAAGATAATCATTTAGCAAGTTAGGTGGCTAATTCGCAGCTATCGTTAAACTAGAATATATGATGAACAGGTGATTTCTCAACACTAACACATCAGTCGATCAGTTAGAAGAAATAATCTTTCGGTCTTGTCATAGTCTTTGTTATCAAGATCGCTTGCAGAAATGAATTATGATCATTAATGATCATTAAAATATTTTCTATCATTTAGGAAAATTATTTTTATCTGGGACTATTTTATTACGCGCAAACGTCTTTTTTAATCTTTGGGAGAGTACATGCATTGTAAAAATCCGTTTCATCGCAAATCGAATTGATTCATTGAAATGGCCATCTTCGCAGACCCAGGGACATTGGTGCGAAGTCAAAGCGATAAAGAACAATGGGCGAAGAAAATTTGGATAAAAACGTCCCTGGGGACTGAGTCCAAACAGCTATGTGAATGTTGGCTTATGATTGGGCAGGAAAAATCTTTTGTATTTTTCTGCAAAGTCGGCGGATAGCAGGCGGCACAGTCCGTTTCGTATTTCTAATAAGAAGCCTACGCAAAGCCTCGTTCGTTCGCCATATTTGTCTTGCCTGTTTGGCGAGATTTCGCTTCCCGTTTTCTGTCCAACGTTTTTCTACCGATTTTCTCCTGTCATGCCTACTTTCCCTTAACCTCACTAACTGCACCGGGTCTCCTAGGATAGTAAGTGGCTTGGTTCCAGTCTAGCGTTGCTAGACGTTGTATTGTATTGGGAAGACCCGTCAGATAAACGCAGCTTGAAGTTGATTTCTACAGGCTCCTGTTGATTTCAGTCATCATCCTTGTTTCTAGGATTTTGATATTTTCTCTGTACATCTGGCTTGTGAACAGGCTCTCCAGTGACGAATGGGACGAAAGAGACCCACGCTTCCTCTGTGGTTATTTTTGTCACAACAAAGACGGTTATTACGATTAATATGCGTAAAATGACGTTTACGGCAAATGGCAAAATAGCTTTTGCTGTTCTTTTCCTAGCCTTTTAGAATATTTGTTCGAATAATTGTATGTTTTGTGAATTGGAAACTTAACTTATCAGAAGCAGTCTTTGCCGTTTACCGTAAACGTCCATTCAAAACTTTCTCATGTCCCTAGTTGGCTGATTACTTGGATCTCAGACTCTCCGTGCGATCCGTGTATATGCCTTGCATACGGTGGCTGCTCCCGCAATACAAGCAGCAGTCACTGAAACCGAGTTGTCCTACCGAAACGACAGGATAAAAGTCTTTTTCTTCCGCGGTAGCTCAGGGGCGGATCCAGGATTTTTCTTACGAGGAGGCGGGGACACCGCTAAGGAATAGCGTAACTGACTGGTGAGGTAAACAAATTTTAAATGCGAAAACGAAGAAGGCTTCATCTCGGAGAAGGGCGGGGGTGCGGACCCCCTGCACTCTCCCGCTAAATCCGCCCCTGGAGCTAACTAAAATAAAGACATCGTTAAGTTGCTTTGGCCTCTTGTTATGCTTCACTCGAGAAATCTGGGATTAATTTTACAACGAACAGGTCTATTTTATTCAAAATGGTGCAACTATTATCCTTCCCGGCGGCAGCGATCAAAATGCTAGTTACTGGAGACGCAAAATATTTCGTATTTTTCACTTTTTACAACCTGATATGTTTTTCGTGCGGAATATTCAATGGCTTCGTCAGTGAGAAAAGATGCCCGATTTCAATGCATTTCCTGATGAAACACGGAAGGCTTACCCTAATGAATGCATTAATTGCAGATTACTTTTATGCATCCTGATATGAGGAAAATCAAAGCGGCTGAATCGTTTTGCTTTATAAACGAGATTTATTACTTTCCTCTAGTTTTGAATTCAAACTAAATAATGCAGTGATATCTTCTGCAGTCATATCTTCCATTAGTATATTGATTTTCTATTTGATTATCATGCCAAAAGAAAATATGAAGTTTCAAATAGCCTTTCATTTCTGCTATGTTTGGATCGCCTCAAACTGACATAAACATTCGTCAAACATACTTTGGCACCAATCTTTATGGAGGAAACAACAATTATAAACAACTTATGAAAAGGGGATAAATTTCCAAACGGTAATGACTCCTTTTTATTACCCGACAAGCACAAGCCTTAATTTCCATATAAGGATAAGCCAAATCTAAAGAACATTGAATGGAGGTTATGGCTAAGCGACTATGGTTCAACTTTCCAAATTTGAAGGGTAAATTTGTATTTTTCACGGCTTTTTAGCGTTTTCCCGGCTAAGCGATTTTAAGTGGCACTGTTCAGTTGTTGTCACTGTAAGTAGTTGTTAAGCATGTCTCGGTTCATTTTTTTTAATCGTCAGGCATTTTCTTAGTGTAACTACTTTTCCAGCTAAAAAAAGCTGAGTGTAGGACGGAGCAGGGTGGTAATTAATGAGCATATATTATATTAAAGATACGAGTTTGCAAGTAATTGAGAAGAAGATATGGTAGACGAAGACATATGCGCAAGTTACGGCTAAGCGCTTTTTCTTCAAAATGTAAGACCTGCTGTGCGAGAGGGACAGCGAGCGTTGAAAATTGATTTATTGTTTTGTTTGGTCATCTGGAATAGTACCACCCCCAGTTTACCCAGCTGTACACACGAGTGGGATTATTCCTAATTTCTCCATGTCAAATATGTACACTGACTACAAACGCTAAAGTCTCTTTAATTTTACGACTGTAAGCTTTGTTACAGTAAAAATGCAGTTAGAAAACTAAAAGATAACTTAATTTCCGATTTTCCAACAGATATCAGCGTGTTCGATTGTTAATAGCTCCAAAACGTCTTTAACAGCAAACATCTTCATGCGCAGGAAAATTGAAACAAAAAAATATTTCTTTGCAATTCCTAGCTGCAAACATAAACATGGAACTGATATTACAATAGATTATTTACCGTTAATACACCTGTGATTTTCATCGAGAAACTGAATATTACCATTTTATACAGAAAAGTTGAGACTTAGGAAAGCGTCTATAATAAACAATTCCCGTTATCAATTTCTAAGAATCGAATGTTTTTTTTTTTATAGAATGTTTGAACCAATTGAGCTCCATAAACTTTCAAAAAAAATAATAAAGACCAAGAAGTTTTCTTCAACATTGACAAGGTTAGGCAAAAATAAGTTGCCTCCAAATTCGACTTGTTATATTGGCTATTTTATAGCTTGCAACCTCTGGGACGGACGTATCTAGAAAATGTGACTATTTAACAGAGAATAAGGTAGTTTTGGTTGACGCAATGTCTCAAAAAAGCGAATCGTTCAAATGACTTCCTGTTTGGTTCAATATTTGTGGTCTGTATTGAGATTTTAGACCACTCAAAGAACCAATCAGATAAGACTTGTCAGTTTTTGTTACTGATCAGTGTACATGCCGATAGTATTTTTTCTTTTATGAAACCCATGAGAAATGTTTCGTAGGCATCTACCCTAACTAGAGTCGATCCTCAGTCCCGGAGGTCGTCAATATTTCGAAAATGTCTCTACTGTAACCTGCAATTGTGAAAGACAATATCCAATACGTAAATATGGCGTCAGTTCAAAACATATATTTAGCTAAGCCATTGTTTTGCTTGTCCCACATGTAATGCTAACCGAACTTAAATTTCATAACTAAACGCATTGCTTCTCTGGTTATGAATTTGATAAATAGTAGAGCTTTTGGCTTCCGGTCTAAAGTCTTTAAAAAATAAAGTGTGAAAGCTGGAAAAGAAAAATATATGCCAAAAGAAAGTGTGAAAAAAATGTAAAAACGGCAACTTAAAGAACAAATGTACTAATTTAAAAGAATAGTGAATTGTTTAGGCAACGACTTAAAAATTTAATTATTGAATTGTAGGTCTGTTTTAATCAGCCTATAAAAATGTGTTGCAAATAGAGAGAAACGATTTCGCGTGAAGAACACGAACGGCGTCTGTTAGCCTTGATCGGATGGCAAAAAGTTAAATTGATTCAAATGCATTTCGTTCCTCTGGAAAAAGTTAAAGTAAACAAACTGTTACGCTGCCTGTCTTTTCGCAGTCAGCGGGTTTTGTTGATCCACCTATGTCAATTGTAATAACTAATCATTTCAGGTGTTCGTAAAGTAAACATTAAGGATTTCCGAAGCAGTCAGTTTTTCAGCAGCTTGAATTAGTCACTCGGCTTAAAGGAAGGGCAAAGACGGTTTTTTATCTGGTTCATCCTGGAGGCTATGCTTTAGTCTTGCCTATTAGAATAGAGTTTTACAAATTTGGGCTCTAAAAATGCACAATATCATTACCTGTTTATTTCTGTTTTTGTCTCTAGTGATATTTTGGAATTATGTCTCGGCAGCAGGTAAGGATAACCTGATCCTTTTTTTTTTTTCTAACTTACAGCAACAATCTAAGAAAGAAAACGTTTTGGTCAGTTTCTGGACTGTAATAATTGACATTAAGCAAAAGGGTTTTTCGCGTAAAAGTGCATTGCAAAAGCTTAAAATAGATAGATGTACCACTCTTTTTCGGAAAGACTGAGGTAAGTTTATCGTTTGCTGAAGAAAAACGCTCCGATGTTTTAAAAACTCAGGTTGGTGCCTTAGTCTATTCATCTTCTTAGCAATTCCAGTCGGCATATATGGTCTAAATGATTTAATCACAACGTGAAGAGAATTTTATAAAATACACCTTAGCCTTATTTAGGAGAAATGGATTCGTTCAGGATGTTCCCTGTCAAAAAATGGGCTTTACTTCACCATAAAAGGTTGCTTGACAATAACATATTACATTTGTTGCATAGTTTTCGAGCAGTCTCGATACGAAAGAATTAGTTTAAATTATTTCCTCCTGACTTTATTTCATCTCCTTTACTAGCAAGTTGTGCCATGAAGCTGTTTAACCAGAAGAACACCAAAAAGCATTTTAAATATAAACGTTTAGACGTAGTTAAAAGGTTTTTAACAACCAATCCATAAACAAGAGTTTTATCTTGGAAAAACGGATTGTTCTGTTTTTCTCTGTGTTTTTGTGGCACGAAAGTGGACGGCGGGTGGTCCGAATGGTCCGGTTGGAGTGGTTGTGCACCAGGTATTTGCGCGGGAAATCAGCGTATTCGAACGAGAACTTGCACCAAACCCATACCAAGTGAAGATGGAAAGTATTGTGATGAAGGAGACAGTTCGGAACAAAAGGACTGCATGAGTGAGTATGAATAACAGCATGAGTGAAAATAGATTATTACCTTTTTAGTTTTTATTGTGAAAATAAAATTTTAGTGGCTGAGCTCGAGATTATCCACATATTAAAAATCTACTCTCGTCAGTCAAAAGAAGTGTTGTCAGAGTGGCAAATCCCGAGGAAGCAACTTGGTTCGAAGACCTTGACGAATTTCCGTTAATAATTTTTATACAATAACAAATAAGGGAAAAAGATGCAAAATTTTCGAGTATACCAAAGATTGTCACATCACATGTGCTACATCACATGACACCGTAATGGTGCTTAGCAACGTCTCTGAAAAAACTGCAGGCTCACTTAGGTATTTAGTAATTACTCATCAACACAATGATGTTGCAGTTGACGGCGGTTTCACAGAATGGAGTCAGTGGTCTCTCTGCGAGAACCCGTGCGGGGGATCTGTAGTCAACAGGACCAGGGCTTGTACTAACCCTACACCCACCCCGGACGGGAAGCCATGCTCTGGTGACACGTTTCAAACCAAGCTGGAATGTATTGGGCCGTGTCCAAGTAAGTCTCTGGAAAGCATTGTAGTGAAATCATTCGCCTTCAAATGCGACAGTTTAAGACTAAGGCCCCGTCTACAATACGCCGGAGAATTTTGAAAATGTACCTTTATTTTACGGTTAGGCCTACTGTCCACACTAATCCGTCACGAAAATGGGGCTTTTCGAAAACGCTCTCCAAGCCAGAGGAATTTGAAAACGCTGGCTTTGCTTTTGGATGTTTAATTTTTCTAGTTATCTCCGTTATTTATTTATGTTATTTTAAGATTGATGCCGAAAACCCTTACGTATGTATGTAACAAAAAAGAGAGCGTGAAGGGAAACACTTTGAAAACGGAGCTTTTCGAAAACGATGCATGACGCTACGAAAACTCATGTGATTAACCCCAATCCTCAAGGGCGCACTCAAGCATTTAAACTTTAGGAGTCTTGGACCTCGTAACAAAGCTAATCTGAGATTGATCACAGGCAACCCACACGTGTTAAACTTCTTTGTGTTTCAGCTGGCCCTCTTGACGGCAATTGGGGTTCCTGGACTCCGTGGACACAGTGTTCCCAAACATGTGGAATATCAGGTGGAACCATTTTGAAAAGAACAAGATTGTGCAATCAACCGCCCGCAATGAATGGTGGGAAAAACTGTGTTGGGAACGACACAGAGACGGCGATATCTTGCTTCACACCTTGTCCAGGTTTGACAGTCATTGAAATTAAAATGATTTACGCATGATTTTGTTGCAGGGATCTCGCTTCCCTTTTTTGATTTGTTTATATAACACATTAGAAAATAGCCCAAAGAGAATACGCGCGCTAACTTTTTTTAAGATTTTGTTTCTATAACAAATCAAAATACGAGAATGATTAGCTCTTATTAACCGAGCAGGAGGTCTGTATAGGAGAATCTTGACCGAGGTCGTGGGTGCAGACCGAGGACGGTGAAATCTGTACACAAGACCGAGGTCAAAATTCTCCCATGCAGACCAACTAAGCTAGGTTAATAAGATGCTTATTATATGGCAAACAAGAAAAATTTAATTCGTTTAATGTAACTGGTTTGTACTAGCTGGCATTTTACTTGCGAAAGGCGATGAGCTGAACTTAAATCTGACAAATTTCGCTCGTCCTCTTTACTTTTTTTTTTTTTCTCATCAGGCTTTTTAGCACTTCTACTAATATTTTTTGAAGAAAATAGTCAATCCTTTTTTTATTTTAGTGTGCAACTTTTTCACCGCAAAATGTAACCGGTCTAGATGCCAGTCTAGATCGCGATCATTATCGATTTCAGCCAATCAAAAGCGTGATTCTGTAGTTCCCAGTCCTAGTGAGACACAGCCATATAATAATTTGACTTATTACATAAAATTCGAAAGAAATATTGTACTAGCACAAACTGTTTACGTAGGCTGCCCCAACCCTCTACCAGTCAAGCATCCAATTACAATCCATAATGGTGGCATCGAAAACCTGGTCTATCGAGAGTTCCGTTCCAAAGTAACGCCTGCAGATGCGTGCTGTAGCATGCGAAACGTCAAGAAAATTTTAGATTGTTATTCCAAACCATGGGTAGTTCATGTGTTATGTTTGTTGCCGCTGTTTGCATTTTATTTCTTGTTAAATTGAAATGGCCAAAGAACATGAGTCGTTATGAGGCTACTATTTACCTAAGCAGACCAATAATGCGTTTTTGACGTGTTATTCGTCTAGGTAAATACGAAAAATACTGACGCGTTTAACGTCAGACGAACTTAGCAATTTTCTACATCTGGAAGACGCGTGAAACAAACCCCATTAAGCGTCTCAGACGTATACGTGTAACATAAGGCAGACGAACTTGTCTGAACTCTTACAACAGACAGCTTTTCTGTGAACGCACCAGTTTTATGTTTGATGTATTTTATGTCTATGCTTTCATGCCTCTCGTATTTACCTAGACAAAATACACATTTGAGAGGTATTATTATTATTATTATTATTACTTTAATAGGATTCGTACAAGTATAGGTGCTTAACAATAGGACATAAGTCCCCTACTTGGTCAATACACCCACACCCAACCCCCTAAAAAATATCACGAAAAAACCCTTCCCTGACCCGACTAAACTACAAATCAAATAGTCTAAATAACACAAATACAATCTAAAATATACTAATCAACTTAACAAGTACAGACAAAGAAAATATTAACACGGCGACACTTAGGACAAATTAATTTAAAAGAACGAAAATTGTCACCATCAAAAACATTTAAAAGTCTAGTTAAATAAAATGACTTAAGTTTATACATCTTCCTAGGGAAATACGGCCATTATCTGTGGCCTACTTCAATGTTAAAGGGGGACGATTTTATTGTTAAATTGCCAATTCAAATGGCCTGCCTTTACTGCCTTGTTTACACTGGCTTGTTTTACCCACAGTCGATGGCGGTTTCGGTTTGTGGTCCGCGTGGACAACGTGCAGTCAGACGTGTGGGACTGGTTCCCAGTCTAGAAGCAGACCCTGTGATAACCCGACCCCTGATGCTGGAGGACAAAACTGCACAGGGGACTTCACTCAGGCGAAAAGCTGTAAGCTTACGTCATGTCCTGGTAAGCAATCATGATTTGTTCATATTACATTTACACGTTTAGCTTAAGACGGAGATTACTATGAATAGTTTTCCTTTGCATCAATCATTTGTGGGAGAGTATCAGGAACTAAGCCTGTCTTGTTTTAAATAATTTGTTATCATTTAGGAAAAAATGAAAATGGAATGTCTTGAATTGAATATTCAAAAGTAATGTGAAAGTGCCAGTTCATGGCAGCAGCAGTGATTGTTTTATTGTATTCTCAGTCCAAAACCCCTACAAGTTCCCACACAAAAGAATACAATTATTTGATAATTATGTAAACTGCCCAGAAAAAATTAACCGATGTTCAAATTAACATTTTATTTGGAAAGTTTTGCAGCAATATGATAACAGGTGCACCACTACAACCAAGCTCAATTTGGAAATAATTGAACTTAAAACACTCCCGACTGCCAACTGGACTTCGCTTCCGCTTTCCTCTAATTTCAATTTTTCATTCAGATATTTCCAAACTGGACAACGTTTATTCCTAATAGTATATTTACTCATCGCCACTTGCCAGATATTTGCTTTTTTCTCATAATGCTTTCTATCGTTAACGTTATAAAATACTTTGCAGTGCTAATGCCTTGAATGTTAACACCAGCCAAGTTTCCTGGGCTATTTAACAACTAAAGAAGCCTAAGCCGTGTATTACACTGGGATAAAACAAGACGGGCATTTGAGAACACGAGGGAAATGTAGGAAACACGAGCCGCAGGCGAGTGTTTTCTACATTTCTTGAGTGTTCTGTAATGTTTCGGCGTGTGGCGAAGCACACTAACACACGCTTTTTCTTTGTTTTATACTCTGATAAAACATGGGTTTTTGACCAATCAGAGCGCGCGCAGAGTCCATCTATGTTATAATATTATTTGATTTCTGTCGTTCCGGCCTTAATTAATAACATCTTTAGGTGATAAGTTCCAGTGAAGCTCGTTAATTAATAAGAACTAAATCCTGCATGAAGTAAACTTGATTAACCGAAGCTTTATACCAAATTTGTATAGAGTATTGTGTTAACGTACTTATCTTACAAAGTTATTAGGCGGTAGTTAAGTTGAAATAACTTGCATTTTGATGCTGATAAAAAGAGAGGTGAAGAAAGAAACTCTTTTTATGATATCTCATTTGTTAACAGACGCTGTCAATGGTGGGTGGTCAGCGTACTCATCTTGGAGCGCATGCACAGAACCCAAATATTGTCTTCAAGGCTCCAAGAAACGAACAAGAACCTGCACCAGTCCTCCTCCGGCAAACGGCGGTGACGACTGCGCTGGACTGGCAGAAGAACAAAAAATTTGTCCCACACAAGAGGACGGGTGTACTAGTAAGGAATCTGCGGTCCAATGAGTAAACACATGATTACTTGTCACAGTCACTTAAACTGCCACAAGTTTGTACAAGTGGTTCCGTATTGATCTCTAGCAGGTTCCACTTTGGTACAATCGTCGTGCTCAAAAAACGATAGTTCGATGTTTCCTTGTGTTTCGTTTAACCAGTCAAAGTTCAAGAGACATGTTATTAGAGAGCCTTTAGACAACAAATAATTTCATAAATAAACTGGGCATTTTGGATGGCACATACAGATGTAACGGATGCTGATCTTGAACACGAATTTGCTTCTTATTATTATCATTTTCGTTTATATTTCTATATAGATCACTAAATCATTTTAGTTACCATGTATCTTTTAAATAGAATGATGTATCAGGTTTGTATATATTTAATTAATCTCTTTTTAGCTTAGTTTATTTCAGTTTTGCAGTATCCCACAATTAGCTGAAAAGCTAGATCCACGACCACTGCCATCAAGGTTATGTAATGCACTGTGTCAAATCTTTTAGCCTACCAGCCGAACAAACCTGACAAAACTGCAACTGATCCCAAATCCTGGATTGCTACCCAATGTGGTGCAGCTGAAAAGTTCTCAGCCACTGGAGCTTATAAAAACGACATTCCCAGTGCGGTGTATCATGATTCAAACTTTAATTTTATGAGAACTGAGCTGGAAAGCGGATGGTTTGCCGTTCAAATGGTTCCTGATGATAAAGATGATTATGGACAAAAGCAGCTAACCAAGGTTTGTGTGCCATTTAACGATTACCACATAGTAATAGCGATAGCACGCGAAGTGTGATTGGCTAACAAAGGTGTTTAAAACGTAATAACAACAATGATTGAGTCCAGGCACAAAGCTTTCAATGGAAGATGTCAAAGACTTCACATTTATTTTCTGACCGATGTCAATTTGGTCAACTTATTTCGAAAAAACATTCACAGGGTATCCAAACCTTGTCACAGACTATCTAAACCAGAAGCAGAAATTAATGTCAACATTAGCGATAGTTTATTATCGTATTTTAATTGTTTTGCAGCGTTTTGTAGAACTCCTCCTAAAACACATTGACTTACACTTTTAGACAATGCTGCACTCACATACCACGAGATTGGTATGTGGAAATAAAAGAAAAGTTATAGAATGTTTATAACTAAAAAATTAGTTAAAAGATTATTTTGTGAAGCTTGAAGGCAGCAGAACAAGAAAGCAATTCCACCTTTATCATGATTGAGTAAAACCATTTTAGATCATCAATGTGGAGCTCAACTCAACTTTGAAGACAATGAAAGACAGAGTAACATTCTCGGAAACACACATGCAAGCTAGATTTGAAGAGCTGGCTAGAACGGTAACTTTAGCCATTTACAACATCCAGATGAATAAATCGCTGTGTAAAGACTTTGATCTTTTGTGAGCTAATCGTAAATGGCGTCCTTTAGATATTCTTGCTTATTAAAGACTTCAAAAGATTTTCACATCCCTTGTATTATTGTGCAGGTATGCTTTGAGATAATCGATCCACTGACTATCGATAAAGTCGTAACCAACAAGGCAACTTACTACACGAAGATCGATGCTTTACCAGAGTGGACCAAGCCTGCCTTAACTGAGAATGTTCCCGCGTTTACCATCTGGATCGATGAGTCACAAGCTCTCAGAAAATACGAGTTTCAGTGTGCAAAATCCGATGAGTATGTGCCGTTAACCGGATATGTGATGAAGGACGTCAGGTGAGAAGAGCAGGTGTTTTCAGTGGAGTTCATGTTTTTTCTGTCGCTCATGCAAACAGAATCATAAACATTTAATAGCACTGCGACAAAAATTTATCAACTGACTAGGGACATGGTCTCTATGGCAACGGATTTCATTATTGCTAATGAGAAAAAGATTGAACGAGCTGAGAGAATGAAGAAACAGTGCCGAAACGGCCAAACAAATGACTCAAACAAATTACTGACTGAACTGAACTGACCAAACAGCGATTTTTTGTTACTATTCGTGTCTCTCGCATTTTTAGGTTTTTAATTATATTATATATTTTTATTCATAGTTTGTAATTCTATTTTCCGAGGGCCACAAGTTTATTAGCCTTTGGTTTTTAAGTGTTAACCCTCCTTAAATAAATTCTTTATTATTATCATCATCGTCGTCGTCGTCGTCGTCGTCATTATTAGTTACATTACACGCGCACCGGTTTTCTTAGTTACTAAAAGTTCAGAGGTACACAACCGATCTGTTCCTTGAAATATCTCAGTGTTCCCCAGCCGATTTCTTGCTGCCTGTGAAATGACTACTCAGCTTGAGTAATCTAAACCTAAGGTAGGAACTTGGTATTTTCCTGGCTTTGATTCTGAGGACGAAATTTGACCCCAACAAATTACAGTGACACTGCTGCTTCGGCTCTTTAATCGGAAGGAAATTAAACAACAAAAAAACAGAACAAGCTAAATAAAAAACAAACGATCGTTTTCTCAAGTTAAGTGTCTTAAAACTACTTTCTCATTTTAGGTTCTCTTACTACACCGAGGGAAATTCGCAGACATTTAAAGCCAAGGGGGATTACTATCTCACAACAGGAACTTTGTTCAAGACGGAAGTAAAGAAGGATGTGATTACTGGCGGAGTGTACGCCACAGGCAATGCTGATTCTGCTACATTCGCAGACATGATGGCTTCATTTGGTTTAGATCCTGCCTCCTTGCCTAGCTTTCTGGTGGATGCTCTGAAGTGAGTTGTTAAGTTTGTATGCTTATCTTATGAGTATTTTAAGCTCTGGGTGGGTATTTTTTGGTCAGTTTAAGAAATGAGAGGCTTACGATTGGGATCAGAGGAACCTGTAGTATGAACTGACAGAAACAGCGCCTCGCTCCTGGGAGAAGAGGATGCACTGTGAGAGGTGACTGCTGTGCGCATGAGTATAACAAAGCCATCTGCTCAAACAGACTTGCGCGTCCAGTCAGAACGTATCTTCAGTTTCTTTCTCCAGCAGTTTGTACCATAGTCTTTACTTTAAGTATTATTTACACGAGGTTATCAGTAGTTCGTATAGCGTGATCATCTGGGTGAAGGTAGTTGTAAAGACAAATGTTGTTGGTAACTGCCGTTTCAACAACCTGAAAGGAAGTCATCTTCAGAGTCAGTTGAATGGTGTTTGTCAGTCGACGGTGTTGTAAGTCAGGTCTGTTGAGACTGATTGAACAGTTTAGCCGTGATGGTATTCTTTTCTGTTATCAACTATTAATTTTACCACAATTACTGCTAATCTCGCAATCTGATTGGCTAATGTGCCGTTGTCGATAACAGTCCAGACCAGGCTGCTCACGTCAATGTGTCGCGCAATGCCTTTTTCAGCTCGCGGTCTGAAAAAAAAATTTCTTTGACGTTGATTTTGTGGTAAAAAACAAATCGAAATGTGGTTAGCGTGGTCTGTACTCTTATCGACAACGAGTACGCGTCATCACTCTTTTCCCAAACATTTTTTCTTATTGTTTCTGCATGTTGAGCGAGTTTGCAAAAAAAATTTTGAAAGGAAAGTCTGACGCGTACAAGTAGCTCATTTGCATAGTGCAGCGCGTACACTTTCAAGTACGAGTTTTCAATTGTCAACAAATCTTGACAAGGATTTCTTTCGTTACCTTTGATATTGTGGTGAAAAACAAATCGAAGGTGGTTTAGCGTGGTCTGTACTCTTATCGACAAAGAGTACGCGTCATTACAGTGATTAAAATTTGTTATGGACTCACGAAGCGCACATTTTCACAATGTTACGACGCGTACTCGTTGTCGATAAGAGTACAGACCACGCTAAACCACATTCGATTTGTTTAATTTATAATGCATTGTTATTGTTGGGATCTGAGAAATAGTTGTTTGACATTCTTGGGTTGGATGACAAATGATTACTTGTTTCGCTTGCAGAGGAGTTGGCCTCTGGGATTTTACCATGCGACCTGTCCAGTTAGTGAGGAAACTAGAAAAGAATGGCGTCTTCAGATTCACAGCGTCAATCGATTTGGGAGGTGTTCCGGTGCACGTTGAGATTTTAACGGGAATCAGGTTTGGAAGACCGACATTCGCTGTTGGGTTTGCCTTTGATAGAGAATCATATGGAAAACTAGCGGAAAAACTCTCTGGCATCGGAGTTGATTTCCTGGACAAACTTGGACTAGAGTTTGAGGTAAAAAAAAACTGAATAATTGTTTAATCACGTTAAAGAGGGAATTATGGGTGAGTTTCTATAATAATAAACGTAAAAAAAACAAAACAAAACAAAAAAAACAGAAACAATCAATGCCACTATATTTGCTTTATATATTTGATTCACTAAGCTCGTTTTCCTTTCCCTTGTTTTGTAAGTATTTTTCAGTTTTAGAAAAGATGCTAAAGTTTTCATGGAACTTCCACTGCACACTTCCTTGATATAAACCTCAAAGAGTTACTGCACCTTGATAATACCAGAACTCTGCTCAATCAAGGGTTTCTTCCTGCGCCATCCTCAATATTGAGGTCCGTTGGTTGTTTTCGTAATTACGATCGACAGCAGCGACAGGATATTTGCAACTTAAGAATGTAGATGTAGATTTTAAATTGGTTTTGAGCTTCAGAGTTCTCTTTAATGAAATAATAAAACTAAAAAAGGATAGATATTATTTCATTTTTTCCCTTAAACTAGGATTAGTCTGTACATTGAACATTTGTCATGTTTTTTGAGGTAAAATAGTTTTGTCTCTCTCGTAATTTTTTCCAATCGGGGGCCCGTTTCCCGAAAGTCCCGGAAACTAGTTGGGTCCGCAAAGCCATTTTTAGTTAATCTGTGTCTAAACATAGAGAGGTGTGTACGCCTGAAATTTCTTGAATAAAGAGATCCTCTGTTTATTTTAAGAATATGTGAATAAAACAACTCTGTAATCACAAGGTTTGAGATTTTGCTATGGCTTTCCGGGTGCAAAAACTTTACGGGACCTTCAAGAAACGGGCTCCTGGTACTGTAAAGACAAGACTTTAATTACCTGTTTGTTTCAGTCTCTTTTTTCAAGATGCAACAAAAAACAGCAGCGTTCTTCAAGTTTGTAAAAAAGGAACATTTCTTAGCTTCATCGTAACCTATGAAAACTGGTTTTTGTAAAGTAATCTTACGATGCACAATTGGATATCTGAACCATTTCAATTCAGACGAATCCACAAAAAACTTGGAATCACAAGCCTTTTCATGTTGTAAAACTCAAAGGGCAGGCAGAACATTAATACTTGCTGAAAATGTTCATATTATCCTCAACATCTCTCATAGATTGGAATGTCCTTTCATCCTCCCGAAGGCTTGGGATTTCAACAACTTTACGTCGATGCAGAGACCAAGTTTTCTAAAGAGCCACTTCACAGCTTTGTTTTCACTAGTGTTCCGCAAGGTGGGTGCAATTATGTACCGAACAGGTCCCCTAACAGAAAAATAATGATAATAATAATAATAATAATAATAATAATAATAGTAATAATAATAATAATAGATAAATAAAAATGATAAAAATGAATAAATAAATAAATAAATAAAGGAGACATTTTGATCCTACTACAAGCACTTCAATAAGAATGTTTTACCTTGAAGCAAATGTTTGTGAAATTGCTTTGACTGTCCCTATGTTCTTTAATTTCTGATTTACCAGTGCTTCGCCGTATTACAACTGCAGTGACCTTTAAGTCGTAGTCACTGAGTCGTTTTTGACTCGGTAGCCAAATTTCTTCCATCTCATTATTGTCTGTTTCTCGTTAGTCGTTGAATCCAGTCAACGTTATTTAAGTAGAGTAGAGTAGAGTAGAGTAGAATCGAATCGAGTCGAGTCGAGTCGAGTCGAGTCGAGTCGAGTCGAGTCGCGTCGCATCGAGTCGCGTCGAGTCGAGTCGGGTCGAGCCGAGTCGAGTCGAGTCGAGTCGAGTCGAGTAGAGCAGAGAAATGTGAAGTAGAGTACAGTAGATTACAGTGCATCGCAGAGCAGTGCAGCGTAATGCAGGGCAGTGCAGTGCAGTGCAGTGCAGT